TATCATTTTGTTCAATTCTTAGTTACATTTAACAAATTTGTGGGCCGACCCGAAATCTACCCGGAACCCGTAGCGGGCGAGCTTTTTTTCACGCGAGCCATTACCGGACTTATATGTTGGCGGGCCGACCCGGCCCGGCCCAACCCGACCCATCCGGATTGACACCTCTAATTGAAGAAGACCCTTTCTCTACATCAGATTCTTAAAGTAGTTATTATCAAATGAATTGGGTATCATCAAATCAAGTGCTGCCAAATTACTGTCTCCACTATTTGTAGGGCATTGACGCCTACGAGTGCTAGCGAATCCAGCATCAATGTCTGTTCTATTGCTGTATATTCTATCTCGGAAGAAAAACATTGGGATTGGCCTATTATGTGGGATCCTGCATATCAGTCGTAAATTTTAGGTCAACAAACATCAAACAATTGTAAAAATAATAATATGGATGTTAGGCACTTTAATTACATGATAAGGCAACCATGTCTCTAGTACTAAGTCCCTTGTTCGCAAATGCGGAAATAACTGTGTGTTGAGATCGGAAAAAGGACTTGGAAGAACGATGTTAGCTACAGAACGACTAGCTGTTGTAGAATCCCTTCTTCCAAGGTTTACGTTCCATGATGGCCCACCAACCTGTGGTACACAAAAAACTGTAAGTTAGTTTAGATATACAACGTGCCCCTCATATCCAAGCCTGTATTTATTTTTTCATACCAGGCTTTACACTTCCACAATTTTCATGATTGTTGTTTGACCCGGAATGTCCGGAGTATTTGTACATGAGATTTTCATCTATAGTAATTTACATTTACCGATCAAAAAAATAATAAGATACAGGGACGGATCCAGGATTTTTTTTTTTTGGGGGGGGGGGCTGAAATTACTTGTATAATAAAATTTACGTGTACTAAAAAAAATCATTAAAAGCTATTTTGGCTCCCTAATAGCATAATAGAAATCATTAAGCCTACAATGTGCAAGCTTAAGGGAAACAAATCTATACCAATACAAATATCTTCAATAATGAATTATCAGAAGTCCATTTATCAAAGAAGCAAAATTATATACCATATAAAAGATGCGCCAAACCATATCATGAGCCAATATTCCAAATTTCCAATTACAGCAAGTTGCCAAGTTCAATGTTTCTCACAAAATCTACGATAGCATAAGAAAAGATACAAGAATTACAACAACCGCGAGGGAGAAAGAGAAAGAAAACGTACCGGAACTGCCGAATTGGAAGCAAAAATCAAGCCCGTAGCCGCAGCCCCCGCCTATTGAACACTCAAACCAAAGTACTTTGAATATTGATGCATTTAATACCCAAATAAATCAGAGAACTGGTAATTTCCACAACCTAGGCAACTTAAAAAGGCAAAACCTGATTTTTTTTTCCCACAAACGTATAATTGTAAACTGATTTATATCCAATGGTTCATTAAACAGTATAATGTATATTAAAATATACAATCAGATTATCAGACACAATAGCCCTGAGTTAGCCAAAAACTGATTTTTTTTTTCCACAAACGTATTGCATGTTTTCTTGCACTGAGGCAGCTATATTCCACAACGTATTGCCAAATGCCGATTGCTTGTTTTCTTGCACTAAAAGTCTAAACCGGCAAGGAAAAAAAAAACCAACCTGTGGGTGTGGGATTTGGGAATTACATTTTAGGGTTTAAACTTGAATGAATTATGAATTCCAGAATCTGCACTCGTGACTCGGCTGCGGCTACTCCTTTGAAATTGAATGAGAATTGGATATGAATCATATTTGGGTTGGGTTATAAATAAATTGGATTGTTCTTTTGGCTAATGGGCTAAATTTTTTTAAGTGGGCTTGCACAAATTTTTTTTTTTTGCTAACTAAAAAAAAATTAGTTGGGGGGGAGGGGGGGCTACAGCCCCCCCTAAATCCGTCCCTGATAAGATATGTTTGTACTTACAGCTATGGAGGCATCCCTCTTTACCGTAGGAGTGTTAAATAGGGCGAGCTGAACGAAAGCCGGCTCGCCTCAAGAAAGTTGGGTTCGGCTCGCCCTATGAACTCCCCCTTTGGTGGGGCAAGTCAAAATGGCTCTTGACACTACAAATAATCGTGGCTTCAATAATGGATTTTCTCTTGATGAAGCGATGATATCCGCTGCAATGATTTTATAGACCAACAATATTTGACCGAAAGTTCATTGCTCTTTTGAGAATCGTTGAAAGTTACCAACGGATTTTCGACTAATAAAAGTTTTATCGTTAGCTGTGGAAGTATTATCATCACCTACAAGAATTATGTCGGTAAAAGTATAAACATTACCTTAAGGATTTTCCGTATGTAAAAGTGTTGTAATTATTTATGGAATTATCATTGGTAAAAGGGTGTTCCATTATTTACAGAATTTTCATGGGCAATGGAACATGTGGACATGGCCAAACGACCTAATTGAGATAATGAACGGTCCGTATCCTCAGGGGAAAATTTACAGTAGGGGCAATGGGGTCAACTCTCCTCACACCCAAATCCAAGTTTTTTCTTTTTATAGTGGAAATTACACCTACCCAAAATTTTTTAATATTACATTAATAATATTTTAAAATTAAATTAATCTATATACCCACCCTACCTCCATCCACCCAAACCCTAATTTTTTTCGACTTCCGCTTCTCTCCACATCTATCCCTTCTCTCTTTTCGAAAGCCAATGACCCATTCAAACTCTGGCAACCAGCGATGAAGGAGCTGCGCCGATTGGCATTGCTGGCATCGGGGGCTGCTAAGAGTTTGCTGATCTGCTTAGCCGAAGTTTTTGTGGTTGTTTTGGTATTAGTTTTTGTTGGTTTACTTGTTTTTAGTTTGTAAATGGTTGTTCTTAGTGATGGTCGTGGTGGTGGTGGTGCTTGGTGATTTTTTAGTTGTGGTGGTGCAGGTTGTTGTCGGTTGGTTGCAAAACGGTGGTGGTGCATTTTTATTGGAGTGGATTGGCATTTGTGACCTATTAAATAATTAATACATGACCAATAAATAATATGTGACATATAAAATAGATAATTTGTGATTAACAAATAATGTGTAATCTTAAAATTTGTTAATTTGTGACCTAAAAATATTTTGTTGAAATTAATTTGAAATTTTGTGATTATGAAATAAGTTGTGATTGATAACTTGTGACCAATTTTTTTAATTTATGATCGATGAATGAATTGTGACTAATAATTTTTTTTTTTTTTTTTTTGTGAACGAGAAATAATTTGTGATCAATTCATTTGGTAATTTGTGACCAAATTGTATAGAATCATGACTTTAATATATTTAATTAATAAAATATATTTTTAAATTAATTATTTCATAAATAAAATTTAATAATATTTAATTTTTGAAATTTTGAAACTTGCTTCTTAATTTTCAAATTGGTTCTACTCAACACCATAAATTTGAAATTTTCCCTTCTTTCTATGTCAGCCCTAAGCAAAAAAGTTAAAATCAAATGAAAACTTAGCCCAAGTCCAAAAAAATTAAAATTAAATTAAATTAAAAGCAAACATGTCAACCCGATTACGATAAGGGTACTTGCAAAAATACCCTTAAAATTAGAAATGTTTTCAAAAAGCATATGAAAAATTTTTAGAAAGTAAAAAATACTGTATAAAATGAAAAAGTGACACAATGTCACTTTTTAAATAAAAATTATCACTTTTTACCTTTTTAAAAAAAGTGACACAAACTCAAAAAAAGTGACAAAACTAAAAAAAGTGACA